GTTTTCTTTACTTTAACAGCATTTTATTTCAAAATATATTAACCATTCTGTGCTTACAAAGGACTGCAGTGTGAATACAATATTAAGTTAAAAGCTTCTTAAACCTGCTACAAAAAACTTTTCTATTGGGAAGAGGACTGGTGCATACAATCAAAATTACTTAGTTTAAATACCTCTGCAGTCTACATGAGTACTTCTCAATCTTCACTCACACATTCTGTTCTGCCACAGAGGGACACAGGGGTTATATTTTCAATATTATACATGCAAAACCGGGTACAGTACCAAAACCAACTATGGTAACATTAGTTTTGAACATAGTTCCATTCTGAAAATGTGTCACGTACATTTACAGACAAAATTTGTATCAACAGACAATAGAAGTTATTGCTCCAAATCCCCACAGGTTCTGGGTAGGAATGCACGCTTTAGAACAACCCGCGCTCTGTAATGCAAAAGATCTGCTGTTAGGTTTGAGTAGGGTCTAGCCAGTCTTAGGGCCCGATGTCAACAGTTTCTTTGGATTTGGTTTGGTAAAAGTTACCAAAGGGAAAAAACAAACTTCCCTAGTCTTCCGACCAAAACATCAAACACTAGTTAACATTGTTTTTATATACATATATAGGTAAACACCTAACTGTTAGTATAAAAAGTTGGTTTCCAACCATCACTGAAGCATAGAAAATTTGTTTTTAAAGGTAACAATCTGAACAAATTGTATGCTCACAGAATATACCAGTGATAACACTGGAAACTGAAAACATTGACCTACACAGCCAGTAGGTTATAAACAACGCAAAATTATTTTTTACTGATACTTCTTGAAAAAGCTTCAGTTTTGGGCTGAGACTGGCAGAAAGGAGGCAAAAAATTTGGATTCTGTTTTTCCAACCTTATGGCCTGGATGTCAGTTCTTAAGCTTAATGAACTTTTGTTCTGTGGCTACTTTTTAGCTTTGTGATGCCTCTTACATTTAATCTACACCGACACTGTGAATAGTTACTTTGACTTTAGGTCCTCATTGGATCATTGTATACAATAGTCAAGTGGAAAAAAGTGAGGCTAGGAAAAAAGAAATCAACGTTTTTGCTTTAAAACCATCATGCTGAAAATTATTCAGCTATATACACGGATGCCAGAGCACTCACTCTGCCTTATTAGCTTGCAAATGCATCCTGCTGCAAGCAAATATGCCCTGCTTCTAACTCAAACCTAGCTTCGGTATCGCTACATAGTGCTATATTCAAAGAATAATCTTTAATTCAGTGCAACATGAATTATGTTTGTCCAAGTCCATCCATATGCAGAGCACATCAAGGATGCATTTACTTGCCAATTAGCAATTCCTTCCCAAATTGGACATATTATTTCAGTATGGACATTCAAAGCATGCCCTTCAGGTCCTGGAATCGATCCCAAAAGAGGATGAAGCAATACTCTCATGTACTAAACCAGCTTCAAAACAAGGTACCAGGTGAGGTGTGGAAGAAGTTAAGAGACGGGGGAACTGAAGACGTATTTCATGACCTATTAATTTTGGCAGCTCTTTAGTGGATTGTGTGCAAATACTTCCAGGAACAGTAATCTCTCAGCAATGGATTACTAGATGGAAGAACAGCTTTTCCCGACTTTATATTGACTACAGCAAAACAGTTCTAGTCACCCTACCAGTATTTCCTTGGTTCTTCCCCGACGTTTATCAAGTAAACATTAATTCTAGAAAATGTTGCTTGTTTTCACTAAATACAGGCACAATTTTGTTCTCAGGTATCTTTAAAAAAAAAAAAAAAAGATAGGACAAAATTTCAGTTGAAGTCTGAATAGGACATACACTGCTCATATTTATATAATGCTGCATATCGGTATATACACTTACAAACCCAGTGCAGAATCCCTGAATATGCTCGTCACTTCTGGCATTGTTTCTGGTTTCAAAATACCAAGTTCATTTTCCACATTGCAATTTTTTTAAAATTTCCAATTTTATCACTTGAAAGCAATTTTGGAGAATTTTACCATAAAGCATTAAGGTATTTTCCTAAAAGTGACAGATAAACAGTATCAGGTTAAAGATCAAGCCTCCTTAACGTTAACTGTTAAGAGTTTTAGGCAATTCTAGTTTTGTAGAAATAGAAATAAGAAGGGAATTGCCAACGTATTCTTCACCAAAAAGCATAAGAAATTAATAATAATAATAATAATAATAATAATAATAAACAACCCTTTGAAATACAAGCCAAGATAGAGTTTATAAAGATGATGCATCCATGGATTTAAGAGATGCCAGCTGTCACTCAGTGAAGATTATTTAATTGGGAAACCAATTTTCTCTTGTAAAATTGCAAACTTCAAGGCAAACAACTGCATCTCTAGAAGAATGCTACCTCCATTATTAAATATAATGAATACTAACTCCAATCTCAACAGCTTTCAGCACCTTCTGAAGGAAGTTGTAGCCGTTTCCAGAGGTAGTATCCATAAAGGTGGCACTATCTCCAGTGGCAAACTTAAGCCAATATAATATGAACACAAGGTTTGAGTAAAGGCAACTGTGGGAGCATCTTCTACCACTGATGCAAAGCCATAGAGTCTCAGTAGAATAATGGTATTTTCCCATCCTCAGTATATCAGGTCCATAGGAGAGGCAGCACTCTTTGCAGTGTTCTGTCACCAGTACTAGGGATCAGCAGCATAGCAGTTCTTCTGCTGCTTTTACCGGGGAACAATTTTATCCAGTTTTGTATTTTCAGGCTTTCTGAAAAACAATGTTTAACATTGCAACCATACACCTATTTCAGAAGTTACACCGATACCCACAATGTGTAATACTGGAGACAGAGTCTAATTTTCCCTACACAATGCTTTTTTCTTATTTTATTCAATTAAACAGATTATGGATTTCCTAATCCAATAATCACTGATAAAATACACATAAGTATACCTTCCTCCCCAAAGTCTTCAAGAGAAGCCACACAGTCCTTGAAATCAGACAAGCCTAAATGTACCCTAGATGAGCTGCAAATACATACCATTGCGCATGGAAATATCCGACTGCTGTCTCCATTATTAGATACACGGGTATCAACTTAATTTCTGAAAAATGTATATCATATATATGACTATAATGTTAAACTTTAAAAAAAAAAAAGGCAGTCTTTCAAAATAAGTCATTACTGCTCCCAACTGGTCACAGTGCATCTGTGCTGAAAGTCACATATTGTAGTAAGGCTGGCAAAATGTGCCAGATTCTCGCCCATTGCAGTTTGTTGCTTCATGTATTCAATTAAGCCAGTATTTACAGTGACCTGAAGTTAACATGCTGGGCTGTAAACTGGCACACAGTCACTTCTGCTAGCTCTGCTACAGCACGGTAACGTTCAGCTAAGGTACAGGAAGGGGAAGAAGGGCTAACTTCGTGCAAAAAACAGTTACCACTAGCCCTTTGGCACTACGCTTATTTGCAACAAGCCTGATTTGCTAGAAGAGAATGTAAAAACCAGCACAATTGTATTTTACAGTACCATGAGACCACATTGTCTTTGTTTACTACAAGCATTCCCTTCTGAATTCTAAACTGTTTTTGTTCAAACTGAATACTAAATGTACTAAATACAAAAGTAAATACCTGCTCCTGGAATGACTGTTTACAGTAAAGCTAAAGACCATTAACTTCTTGCCTATAAGCATTATGAAAAAGATGGTCTCTCCTAAGAAAACTGTAGTTTAATGCCACTACAGAAAAGGGTGTGTGAGGAGTTCCTCCTCCTCCCCTTTTTTTTTTTTTTTCTTTTTTCTTTTTTCTTTTTTTTGAGACCCACAAGCCATCTAAAAGCTTATCCCACGGAGCTGCTGCTTGCTTTTGCAGATGAGGCAATATAACCAGGAACTGGTACGTTACAATGAGCAGAAGTCAAAATGACCAGTTTGATTATTTTCACATTAACGTGAGATTGATCTAAATGAAACTGTTCTTGAAGAGGCTGAGTCTTTTCAAAAAAGAATATGGATTGTTAAATATGCAAGGACAAGTTTTTCTATTTCTACTGGTAATTAGACACTAAAGACAAACCGTAAATAATCAAGGTATGTTTTTCATAAGGTGGTGTTTTGGGATTTTCTGTTTTTTCTTTTTTAAACATGGCAAAATTCAGTGAGCATGTCACATTCTAAGAAGCTATTATTGGAGGGTTTGTTTCTTTTTTTCCTTTTCTTTTTGGCAGTATACTGTTACTGTACCACCACTAAACCATACAGTTGGTTCCTCAATCAGGCATAGCACATAGCATGAGCTCCCTAAGCTACAGTTACTGAGAATGACTGTACTACGGATGGTTCTTCATGGCAAGCCTTAGCTGAATTTGAAACGGGAAGCATCAATGTGAAGCCTCATTTAAAAGCAGGACCAACTAACAAAACCACATCAGATATGAATTCTCTGTACAAAATGATTTCTTTTCACGTTGGCAAAGGAACATTTCAAAATAGCAACATATCTTCTCAGCTGATTTTACTGATTTGCCACTGTTGAAGATAACTGTGTCTGAAAGACTATTTTAATCTTCACGGCAGAGACCCTTCTTTGATCTAAGGAGGTCGGGTGAAGGGGGAGGGAGAAGAGGAAAACTTAAAAACAAACAAAAGAATGCTTTATAATGACTCTTTAAAATGACTATGTTGAGTACCATAGGAACCTGAAAGATTGTCTCAGAAATAACTGGGATAGCAAACGTGGACAATAGAAATGTCTTGACCAATGAGTAAAGAGGAGCAATGGAAAACTAGAAATACATTAAAGATGCATATTTCTTGCCAGTAATCTTCTTTAAATGCTGTCTACAAGAAGCTATAATGAGAACACAATATCAGTGCAAAATTCTGAACTAAAAAAGTAATATAATAAAGAAGTTTCCCAAGTATCACAGTGGTCTCATTCAAGCTGGTTAGAATGTTGGGGGAATACTTAGGGACAGTCTCAGGTTGTCATCCTCCACCCTAGCCAGCAAAAATTATAAAAACGTATTTCATTAAAGCTTTTATGTGATCCACAAAACCAAGGAAATTAAAATACAGGACAGTTACTTAACTCAAGCAATACATCCTTCCTATTCAGTTAGTTGGAACTGATGTGTAGGTCCTTCAGAATTTAAAATACTACATGGGATGTTTCTGTCTTTCAATGAACTCGAGTCAAACTGCTAAATCAAGCCTGAGTCTGTCCTCCAAACACATACCTGCAGGTTTGCAAGTGCAAAAACAGCGTGCTTGAAACCCCCCATTTAAGCATAAAATTTCATCAGTAAAATTGCAGTGGCTAATTTTGAGAATCTGAGGAGTAGGCTATTTGTGTCTTAATAGGCAGCCTGTTTATTGCAAACCTGTACCAGGACTTTCTTGCTTAGTAAGTATCAGAGTACCTTCCAATCACTTCCTATGGCAATGTAGTTTTAGAAACAATGTAAAAATACATGCAGTATCATGAAAATAGGAGCCTTCCAAATCTGTCAGCACTTCTGCAACTTGAGTAAAACAAACATCTGAGTTACCGAGAGCTGTTTGTACACAAATCTTAGATATCCTTATCCCTAGATAAGAACAGGTTTTTGTTCCAACAGTTGCATTACCGTCAACAATAAATGCAAGGCATGCCTGTATTTTGTCTAACTCACTATCAATCAAACTCCGAAATAAATTCAAGGGAAATTACTAGAAACTGGAAGGTAGTTCTTTGGTTAAGCATGTGCATCTGCTACTTTGTACCTAGGGTCTCACTGTATTTGTGGAAAAGCTGTTCAAGTACGAAATTTCTACCAAAACCCCCACTTCCTATTTATAAAAAGGATCCATTTATAAAGATCCATTGTGTCAAAATATTTCAACAATCAGTACAAAAGGCCTTAATTGTCACCAAAACTGCAATTTAAGCAAAATTACGTATGGAAGAAAAACCCTAGAGTAGTTTGATGCTGTGACCTAGGCAACACACCATTTCAGGAATTTAAGAACTTTGTTTATTATTAAAATCTATCTTATATATTAAGATATATCTTCTTAAGATATTTGGCCAGAGGCTTACAGGGGAAAACCACCAAACTAAACTAAAACAAAATCCATGCTCTCTCTCCTTCCTCTTTGGAAGTAACTTTTCAAACAAATTTAAGTTTAACTGAACTCAGCCACAGCATTTGAAAACCAACATTAAACAATCCCCATTCAGCTTCTTCCTATTACCGGAAGTAGACGTTGACAATCGTACATTACCTCTGCCTGAAAACACTTAAGGCCTTTGATTAAATTTAGTTGACAAGATGACTCCACTGGGATGGTGAGTAAGCAGCAAAATACTATCAGATTTCACTGCAAATGAGGGCAAGATTTAAACTATTTAAACAACTCCTCCTATTTCAATATGAGGAAAACCCACATTTAACAATTTGCATGTCTACTAATTTCAGGAAGATATTAGAAATACCAGTCTCCAACAACATTCAATTTCAGTGTGTGTAAGAAGATAGTATTTAGGTGTTATTATAAGTTACAGATGATGGTCAAAGCCTCTAAGAAATACTTCAAGGAGCAGCAAATAATTATATTCTACTTTCGTTTAACAGTTGAGTGGTTTACACCTTTTTTGCCACCAGATTAACTGAGAATAAATATTTTGGAATTAGCTTTCTTTAAAGCTACTACAATTTAATAACACAAATAACCCAATAAATAAAAGCCAAGTTAGTCATTTCAGCAGATAATGACTCCAGTGGATATACCTGTCCTCTTAACCATTCTTTTTAGGAAGACAGAAGGTCTTCAAGGTCTTCAACAAGGCAGTTGAATTGTGTGTTAGTATGCAAAGCCGTGGGAAGTAGACATTCTCTCTTGAAGAGGCAAAGTGCACAATAACGCAAGGCCAGCAGATGTTTGAGAAGTGGTTTCTCCTAAAACCCAAGCTATGCTTCCCTGTGAACTGCCCCTTGGCACAGCTGGAAAAGGACAGACGGCCATGGCTGTTGTGAACTCAAGACAGAAGACAGCGATTCTCTCATGTTGAATAGGTGCGGCACAGGCACCTTCATCACTCTGCAGCCGTTTTCATCTCCTCAGGACTCTCTCTAGATGACCTGGGGGGCGGGGAAAAAAAAAGTAAGACTCCTATCTGTTGAGCAAGTACAAATAGCTAGTCTCCTACAAATGAAACAGGAATCACACACGCAAATTTTTGCGTGTACTGTGGGAAGCTCTGTCTACGGCGTAAACAGGAAGTCTTGGAACATAACTTCTACAAGTCGGAGACTACAGACAGGTCCAATTAGTGGTTTTTCTCCTAAGTACCCATATGAAAGATGACAACATTATTCATGTGAATGAAGCAAAGGATTATTTCTGACAAGCACAGAATCCTCTTTAAGATATATGTATAATGAGCTAACCTATGTAATTGAACAAGACAGTAGAGACATTAAAATGGCTACTGTCATTAGTAACTTCACAATATGATTTCCAACTCTAATTAAGCATTCAATTAGGAGTTTATTCACCCATTCCTAACTGCACAGTGTAAAGATACATTTCTATATTCCACATTTGGTAACTTCAATAAAGAGATTAATCAAGATCATACTTTTAATGGAATAATGGCATATAACGTTATCTCATTTTTTAAATTCAAGTATGCTTATTTGTATTTCACAGTATTGTACAGTAACATAAAAATGCAGTATTTGCAGGCAGGTCTTTTATTAAGGACAATCAACACTGACTATTAGACATCCACGAATAACAGTTTTACACAGAAAAAAGGACGTTCAATCATCTCCTAGCACAATGGCAACATATAAATTATAGGATACAAAGGTATTATCAGTGAATTTTCTAAAAGAGCCTTCTATAAGAAGCTGAGAGACATTAAACAAACATTTCAAGTTTACAAGTTCCAGTGACTATTTGACTTTACCATAATTTTTATTTGTAGAATATAGGATAGCTGAATCCTCTCCAAGTACTTCAATACGCATGTAGGTGTGTATGCACACTCATATATGACTCATGCACACATTCTCTATACCTATGCGTATATACACTGATCCATGTAAAAACATAACGCATACGTATAAGACATTTATAACTTACCGGTAAATCTGTAATGGCCATGCTGCTTGTGATGGAGTGGGCACTGAATTTGTTGGACTCACCAACATGGCACTATATATGTTGGAAGCAACCACAAGTATACAAAGTAGAATTGGTCCTATGATGGCTCCTTCCAGTCCCAGGTAATATGCTCCACCAGCTACCGCAAGACCTGTCAGGTAAGGATGACCACCTCTGGAATTACGGCACAAGGAGAATAAAATTAAATTAAGAACACCATACAACAATACTACCAATTATGAAATGTGAATTAATCATAAAGTTTTATTAAGCTTAGGAAATGACAAAGCTAGCTATAGACAGCCATATTTACACTATAAACTGCTGTTTGAATGACTGCGCAAATATTCCAAGCTGTATTCTGTGCTATATTTGCACAACAGATCAAACAATGTTTTGTAGCACGTAACGCTGGTAATACCCACAATGGAGTAGCTACTTTATAGACATCTGCTGAAGAATGTCTGAAGGAGTCAATGGCAAAAACATTTCCATTTTGAAAATAGAAAGATGATTGATTACAAAGAACGTTCAAGCTTTATGGTCAAGAATTGTTAAATATTAAGACAACTAGCAACAGGTACTATGAGCGGCCCTGAGCAAAGACATTAATTTACACGATGACAGCAACTTGCATTGCATCTTTCAAAGAATAGTTAGCATATATTCTTTAAATAAACAGTCGTATCTTCTCATTTTGTTACAAAACAACCTCTCAGACTGAGTGTTTGTTATCATTAGCTTTTAATGTTTTCAGATGAAAAACAAACCCAGATTTTTATGAAATTAATATTTACTGGAAAGTTGGGGCCAACGGAGCTTTTGGTAAGAGCTATTATGGCAGCAAGTAAGCCATGCCATTTTTCTTTTCCATGTTTCAGTTCAGATGCACAACATGAATCCTGTCAACAGCATTTACACAAAACCTGCTCATTGTGCTTAATCTTTATAGCTAAAATAATGATGGTAATATGGAATTATATAAGAAAAGCTACAGTTGAAACTTAGCACCCGATTTTCAGGAAGTTGCTCTAAATTCTGAGTGTAATGGAGTGAAAGTACCAGCTAGTCAGTTTAGAGCTCCGGCAGTTTCTGCCCGGTTTCTAGCATGGTCCTGACTTGTACCCAACTCCCACATTCACAGTCTTTGCCTTCATCACAACTGTGTGCAGAATAAGACCATGAAACATGACCTATTACATCATACACACCTCAGTCACGTCTTACCTAGATCAAATTTAACCTACTGGTAGGGCCAGATTGTTTTTTGGAGGGGACAGACTTGACCTTGAAGTTTTATGTTTCTCCAACAGTACACACATGATTCATTTCTAAACCTTTAAAAACTTCAAATAATTTTTTTCCAGCATTTGCATCAGTTTGAACCTTCTTCTGGCTAGTTTGCTAAATTAAACAACAGGTCACCTGATGAAATAGGACTACAGTATAAATTTAATGCATTTAGAAAACCCTGCATAACCTAATTATAGCTATTTCAAATAGATTTAATCTAATCTGCAAGACAGCATGATGCTTACTGTTCTATTTAATGGGAAGAATGCAATTTTGCTCCACTGTCAGAAAATCTATTCCTGCCACATATATTTTCTGGACAGTAAACACAGTCTGCATCCCCTACAGTCAAAAAACGTATTCTAATAAGTATAAGAATTATTGGCTGGTTAAATAGCTACTAGCCTTAAACTTATCCATGATTTATTGTTGGGGGAAAAAAAAAAAAAAAATCATAATTTGAAAATACTTCACCTGTTAGCTTTAATCCATGCAAAATAACTAGTGCCGCAGTCTATGAAAATTATTATTAATATTGTGCATATTATTATTCGGTTCTCTCTGTTCAGTGTAATTATATTTGGTGAACAAAAATATTAATTTTGAACTTAACACAGAACACTTAATGTTCTTGTTCTACATTATCTCCACCAAAATAAAAAAAAAAAAAAAAAAATCAGCACAAATGAGGGACTAGTACCAGCATGTAACTAAGTCTGGACCATGAAGTTCTCAATTCAAACAGTTTACTAGGATTGTTTCTGACGATCAAGACTGAAGCAGTGACTAGAGGAGTACCATTTTATATCTATCTTGTACATGGTTGTGAACGTCTTGCACATATGAAACTTGGCAGTCCACATTTTTTCCAGCTCTGTTAAACAGCGCTGCTTTATCTTCTAATCTGAATTGCATAAAGGGATTCACTAGATATTTGAGCAGCAGAAAGTGTCAGTGGACATTTCAGTTGCACTCCAGATACAACTGCAGACGTCGACTTTGTCTCCATAGTTTGGAGTTTTCTCTGTGTACAAACTCAAAGCTGAAACCAGGAGACATTTCAAGTCAATAGAGGCAGCCAAACACCTAGCAAGATTTTTCAATGAATTTGTGCCTACCTCCCACAACAGGAAAACGCATTGGCTACTGTCTCAGTAGGAGCCTATGTCCAGTTTCATCTGTCTCAACACATTTAAAGATCTATCCATAATCAATAGATTTTTACACTGGGGTATGGTGACACAGCACAAAGGCTGGCTTCAAAAAAAATCCTCAAAATTCTCACAAACCATTCTGAAAAATGAAAGTTTTTTTTTCAGGTCCCTAACTACCTCATGGATTTCTTGTTTGCTCTGCAGCGTCATCTGGCGTTAGGTGATGTAAAGGAAAACGCTACATGTCTTTAGTCAACGATTAGACAAATAGCAAAGGTATTCTTAGAATTACTTTACCAACTGAAAGAGTTGATTTTGCTGACTTTGAGAACGAGTTCAAGACCTCTGAAGTGACAAAGTTCACAGAAAAGAAGCCTGGCAAAGTAAAGGCACTTAGGTCAGTAAGACTTCTTACGATGAGGTGGTATCTCTACACCTATTCCTATGCTTGAAGATACTGTTCTGCATGCTTCAAAAAAGTAAGTTTAATTAAAGGCGTTGATGATCATTAAGCATTTTTACAGTACTAACTTTAAAAAGTCTTCAATGTACTTACCCTGATATATCTGAATAAATTGCTGTATCTACAAAATAGGTTGGCAAGAGGTGAAAAACCAAGAGCAAAACGGCTTTGCATCCCTGTCCTTGCACAAGCCATAAATCTAGGACTGCAGGGATGGCTGCCCAGTACGTCCCCAGAAACGGCACTGCTCCAAGGATTGCTGCTAATGCTAGAGCACACAGAAGCAGAGGTGAGAAAAAGACCAGAGAAACGTATTTCACAAATATATTTACAGTTAAATTCTGACACTTTTGCCACACCGGTAGTCCCATTTCTATAAACTGTTGTAAATAAGACACTGAAGAAGTGCCACATAAGGCTCCTGGTGTTTTATAGCTGTGGTTTAGGAAAAAAGAAAATTACGCTATTCCCCATACAGAAAAGCTTCACCAACTGTCAGTCATAAGGTTTTACTTCCAAAAGCAGCACCAAGTCAGAAAAATTTAAAGTTATACCAATCATGCACATTTCAAACTTTTACATAACTACAAATTAGCAGCTGTGTGCAAGAAAGTACACAAGCAGAAGTCTCACTGTAACTTACCGGATCTCCTGCAGTCAACCATAATAATGTAGGCAGTGCTGTGAGAAACCAGGCAAATATAAAATCCATGACTTATGTATTTCTGTATGCAGATGTGTACACACAGGCGTACACCCTTCTGATAGTACAAATACCCGCTGTAATCTAAAGTGATGCAGTACTGCTGTCATTCTAATTTAATGCAACAGGAATGAACATAATACAAAAAATAAGATTTTTTCCTCTTTTTTGGTCCCATTAACCAGAAAGCAATAACTTTTAAGATTTTGCATGTAGCTGAAAGAAAAAGAACAATTATCTTCTAAGTAGGTCTAACGACAACCAATGACATTACGGTAGTTGCACTTTATAATACAGCCATTTCCTATCATATTGGGTTTTGTTGCTTTATAGCTTCCCCTTTTGTTCCCTCGTACATGAAGGTACAACATTTTTGAAATTACTATTATTATTTTTAGGGGAAGAGAGGCAAAAGAGGAACAGGGGACAAAATTTTTCAGTGAAAACTGTTCAGCCACTTCCAAAGCTAAGATTAGAGAGTAACAGAAAACCAGAGGCTGGTAATACAGTCAGGCAACAGTACTGAGAATAAGAAGCACGCCTCTATCGTGCATTTTCATGATACCGCATCTTCCTGCATTTAAACATCTTGAAAAAATCAGCACCTGTCAACTATGGAAGAAACAAAATCTAAGGCAGGCAGAATGAAGTTAAAACCTGGAAAGAGTTGGACTGAATAGAAAGAAGAAAGAATTACATCCAGCAAAAGAAACAGACAGGAGAAGTAAAATAGCTGGCAGGGGATGTGTTGTGACAACAGAAAAAGGCAAGGCTCAGAGGTAAGATAGCATTCAGGGACTTCTCTCCACCCTACCCATGGCCATCCTGAAACACCCCTGGAATAAGTTTTCAGCAGTGCTACATACATTCACAGTTGGAACTAAAGATTTTGAAAATAAGAGCTATGAAAAGCTGTACAGTCTTCATAGAATAATTAGATCTACGGTAGTTTAAATTTAAACTTGGAAGAATCAATCAATGCTAAGAAGTTCTTTGGAACCACAATGCATAACACAAAAGTATTAAACTTGTCACAGTATTTTTATAGTGGGGTTTGAACAATAAACAGGAAATAAAAATGAGGTTACATATTAAACAGGGAATAAAGAAAAAAATTCTGAATAGCTACTCATTAAGTTCATACCATATACTGAGTTCATCAATAGACTCAGGTGTTATGATAAAAAAGTAACCAATCCTGTTATTAGAAACCGTCTTAAGACGTTTGCACAGATCAACCATATTAAGGTTGCCTATGCAACTCTAAATTCTGATAGTTGCCAGCTTCTGATTTAATGTTCTCTAAAAATAACTTCAAGACTTATCTTATCAGCAACATTTAATCCTACTGATCTTGTACAATAAATAATTATGTAATATTATCTATAAATAGATTATAATTGTTCAGATTCTTACCAGATGGTATGAAGACTATGTTAATCCCAAATATAGTGTGAGTTAGCCAAGTGTAGAGTCCATAGAACCCAGCCATTTTGAGGGAAGCATCAAATACACCTCTAAAACAATCAAAGAAACTGTATTAAATTTTATTGGCAATAGGATTCTGGGAACTATATACACAAGCTGCTTTGAAAAACTGCAAAGCCATTAGTGCCACCAATAACACAACTCAAAACATAACACTGAACCCTTTATGCGTTTATTCCCTATGAAAAGAATAAGCATCTATCACATCTGTCATTTAAGGTATTTGGACACAAAAACCCCAGACTGTTCTTTACTGTGCAATGGGTTCCAGGGATAAACTCCTTGAAAGAAACTGCTCAAGCATCAGACCACATTCTCTATCAAAAATAACCTTTTATCTATGAGAAGCAGTACCATTCTCTGTATGAACTACTTTTTCTTTGCCCTTTTCCACTTCTACCTGTTCATTCATTTTCTTTATCTGCTTACATTTCCATACCTGCTCATTCTCACTGGATTAAAACCACTGCTCTGTGAAGTGAAATAGACTGCTTAAATTCTTATGTTCCTACATACTTACATGCCTTTCCGGATGAAAATAAATGAGCACCTCATATTCATTACTGGATTTTAGCCTCAATATCTTTATATTCCTAGCTTTTAGGTTGCTTACTAGGTTACATTACTAAAAACCAAATAGAAAGTCTGGTAATCTAATTCAATCCTGCTGAATCTACATCCAACATGCTGGCCACAAAACAAAGTTCTCCTCTCTTAAGTGTGACCACAGCTTCATGAGACAGCAAACAGGCAGCTAGGTGCTGTATCATTTTTACAGGGCTAGCGCTCTTACACATGTGGAGTATCCTACAACTGAACTGAAAACCTGTGCCTTAGGACTACAGTCACAAAAATTATACTCTAAAACTGGTATATCTCACCACTGCATTATGCCAGTTTTTCACCCTTATTTGAGAAAGGTACGGTTCCCAAAACCACTATTTTAGCTTGGATCTAAGTAACCAAACTATCCCTGAGTTCCTCTGCTCAGAACAGTCCTAACAGTTACATCATTGCAGAAGTGGTGGCACACCCCCCCTCTTAGCAAAGATCAATGCAAAGTTTGCTGATGTTAACTTCCCATTTTACATTTCATGCTTTTAGTTACACTGCTTGTGTCTTTGCAGTTTTGGGAACTCTGGCAGGAGGGCACAGAGGACAGGAAGACATGCAACAGAAATCATGCAGCCAGATGATTAGTGGAAAGGTTTTCATTGCACTTTGAAGAGGAACACAGTCTGCACAGAAAACATCCCTTTCTAGAACTAAAGCCTCTAAGAGCACAGTTTCTTTCCTCTGTCGAGTCGATAAAGCCTTCTAGAAAAGAAACCTTCTCTGCTATTAAACTACTAGGTAGAGTCTTCTCTTCTGAACTACCAGCAAGAATTCCAAGACTCCCAGTTTTTGCTTCTTTGGGCACTATCTTCATTATTATTTCTGTGGGCAGTTTGCATACTTTTGCCCTCCTTTCCCACCTAAAGGCACGCATAGATTCCCTAATGACTGCTGAACCAAAATTATCGTATTTAAAATTTACCCACTGGAAGTTATGCGTGCATAAACCTCACACATCAACACTGTTATCCAAAATGTGAGATTCTCTTAACAGATTAACTAGGAACAGCTGTTGTCAGCCATTTTCCCCCCAAAAAGAGGGCAAGGGAAAATATGGAAAAAAGCAAGCATTAAAGAATGACCTGAAATAACAAATCCAACCTTTGACAAGACAAATATGTGGTGCGTGAAGAAGGAGAAGGAATATTTACAAATATGTGGTGGCCTCAGTGAAAAGAGCCTGAATACTCTGCAGTTTAGATGAACTTCTAAATGTTTCCCTTAAAACGGGAAATCACAGACCAAAATATATAGAGTCTACAGATTTTGAAGAGTGAAATACTCACCTGTGGTTTAGTTGTAAGAAAAGTAAGCTTCTGGCATAAAAAAAAAAATTGGCAAGGAGGAGAGAAGACCCCAAAAACAAAAGCCACGGTAAGAATGCTAAATGTTAGTTTGCATTAAAAACTCAAGATGTTTTCATACTTCAGTTACTCAAAATTCTTAATTTTCTGTGACATTTAATTCATGTCTGCTCTTTCCGAGGATATGAAAGGAGCATAATATTTTTGTAACAAGAACCTGTTTACTAATTGAAACAGATTCTGTCAACCATTAAGTATAAACATCATATAAAAAGGGGGGGAAATAATCAATCTATCAACATTTTATTTAAGGATACCTTACAAAAACAGAGGGCTAAATACCACTTTAATCCATACGTGGAAGTTATCTGTGGTTGGATTTTAAGAATTTAGAACATGAACAACTACAACAGGGTCTTTGGCAATGGAAGTCTCCAGGCAGCTGGAGAGATGAAGTGCTGTCTGTACTGCAATGATCACGAGGGTGTAACAAAACAACCCCATCACTTCTCCTGGTTGCACTAAAGATACATTTTTTCCAACTAAACCCTTACGCTTTTGTCAAGCCAGCTTCCTCAGCCTTATTGGTCTCTTAAATCTTAGACCTGTCCCATAGAAATCCCTTTGCACTATAAAGAAGGTATCTCACAATTTCTGAAACTCTGCATTGGTGACACAAATTTTTCAACTTTTTTTTAATGCAATTTGCCAGGTCCTTCCAAAACAAAACCAAAATGAAAAACACCCCAACATATCCAGAACAATTTGTTAGAAGGAAGCATTAAATCTAAATATTTAACAGCATCTATGAGAACCCAGATTTCAACATGCTAGAATTAAATCTTCGAGTAAATCTTTTTCCTGTCAATCAAACAGGAACTGTGGCACAAATACATCTCAGTTGTCAAAAATATTTTAAAACTGTCCTTGAAGTATGTCCTTATTTTTCCCATAAAGATGTTTTCTGTACTGTAGTAAAATTAACAAGGTCTTAACAACTTCTGTAAGTATGCCCCAAAACTACATTTAAGTATACAGGAGGCAAGACAGGCCTCTGGCTTCAGGCAAGTATCTGAAGTATCAACTTCACCTGAAGTTAAAATATCCATCTACAACTACAGGAAAGACTTACTTTTTAAAGAAGCAATCATTTTAGATTTTCCCAGAGAGACTACAAAAGAAGGGAAGACAATCTTCTTATGGTAACCAAAAGAAAGACAACAAACTAGAAAAATGATTCTAACAGCCAGAATTAATTGCTGTGAATTTAATTAAGTTAGGGAGTAACTGCAAAACCGTTTCTCATTCATAAGAAAGCATCCAAAACTGCCATTCTAATTTATGCAGTTTTCACAGTTCAGACAAGCATAATTTTTATCCTCAGATTAATTTTATTCAAATTTAAATTCAAGTTCTGCCATGTCTTTTGCTGATGTAATCATGCAGCTTATAAACAAATTTTACACTGTTAAGTCCATTACTCGTTACAGATGCACTAGTAGAATAACAGAAAAGCTAATCGTGGACCAACAGGTATGTCCTGGTCTGATGTCATTCTGCAAGTTGATACCTAATTTATCTCAAGAGCAAAACAGCATATACCTCTAAAAGACTGTAGAACAGTACAGCATCTCTCTAGCTCCTTGCATCTAGCACGCACGACTAATAAGCTGAAAGGCGAAGGCATCACACAGTGCTGAGAAGCCGTGAGGTGCCAGTGGTCAAGCAGGAAGCGAGAGGAGGCTATACCTAATGTCATTCTCCTCCTCTCCTTCACCTTTCTTTGTGTCTGCCTCAACTAGTCAGAAAAAAGCACAGGGGATCCTACTTTGTCGCGAGTGTGGCCCAGGAGAACTTTAAGTTTCTGAAGACTCATGTTTGTTACTTTTGTCAGAAAAACTAAGAATCATATCTTAAAGTCTCTAGAAATTCATATCCATTTGACTTCATGGTTAAGGAAGCTAAAAAAATAATGCTGAAAACACTAACCAGAATCTTCATTAACAGTATGCTTCAGCTACTCTGCATCTGTGATACCAGATCTTAAAGATGATGTGGTATGCTAGTGCGAACGCTGAATGAATTTATTACCATCTGTAAAATGCAGACCTTCCTGGTGAAATTATGAAAGTAAATTAATTCAATCTCTTAATATGTTATTGGCATACATACAGCTTCCTTTTATATACAAGAGTAATTGTATATTTCAGAAATCAGAAAATCCATTTGCTGCTCATGTCTCACTGTCACTGTATCCGGATGAACCACTTTACCTGCAAGAGCTGTCATCTGCAAATGTGTAATTTATGAGCACTTCATGGCAAGTTGGTGTAAGGCATACTTAGACATACATATTCCATTGACTGAGCTTTGACAAGCATGTAAAATTAAAAAAAAAAAAAAAAAAAATCAGAGGACATGGGTCATACTTCACATCAGTCAGATTAAAAATGAAGACACTTCTGTCAAATTGTCAAATGTTTCTGCATAGCTGGCCTAAATATTTCTTTGTTAAAATTCTTTCTACTTCACTGCAAAGCTAGGGAATTTGCTTGTGGATTTCACAAGGGAAAGTGCCACCTTTTCATTTTATGGGTTTTGTGGGGTTTAGTGGATTTTTTTTTTTCTCTTTTATTGATTTGCCATAAAAAGTCTACAGCTTCCCCTTTGCTTCTACTGAAGTTTACATTAAATGTTTGTCCACCTGAATCCATGTTCACTTCACAGAGCCTGCGGGCAAGGTCTGTGCACCATTAGTGACACAGTGAAATTTCAAAAATTTCAACCTAACATTGCAACAAGCCCAGTTCAAAGGAAAGAGGCAGAAAAGTGAAGACTCCTGGGATGCAGAACACGCCTCGAGCTTCAACTCAGAGCATTCATTTTTTGACCTCAGAGTTATTTGATTTTCTAGATCTCTCTGTTCCCAGAGCACTGGAGGAAAGAAGAGCATATGGGCTGAAATGATGAGAATTGGAGTTTCCAGTAGGATTAGAGTAAGCATATAGCTAAGTCCAGAAGAGAGATTTACTGGTTACTATACTAAATTTATAACGAAGGCATATTGACCCTAGCCGCTGAATGGGCATAAGAGTAAAAACTAGACAAAA